CTTACGGGACATAGAGGCAATGAACAGTGATGAAGAGGAGGAGGTGCTTAGTATGCAGAACAAACAAAAGGTGATGAACGAGGCCTTACTGCAGCTGGTTGAGCGGAAAGGAGCTCGGGCCCAAGAAGAACTCTACCAGAGTCTCAGAGAGACGGACCCTTACCTTGTACAGGACTTGGAGCAATCCAGCTAGGGCCTGGAGATCCCGCTGACAGCCACCTGTGCTCCTGGCAGCTGCCCCTGCCAGTCTGGGGTGTGAACATATTCTTCCCTTTGTTACTTACGCAGCAACATAAAGCTGGTTTGATACAAGGAGATTTTAATCACAGTGTCCTTTAGGCCACCGCTACCTCTCGCTCTTCCTTGGTCTCTCAGCATTTCTTCTTGGGATCTACCTGCTCTCATCTTGTCCTACTCACAGTCTGGGGGAGCATTTCCTTCTGTCCTCTAGACAAAATAGGGGTCTTAGGCTCCCGGCCGTCAGTACCTTGTAGACCCCTTTGTGCAAGGTTTCTGCATGTTTTCTCCTCAGAGACTGAAGAAGGGGTTGCATCTTTCCAAACATACAGCCGATCTCTCAGTTAAACAAGCTTTATTTGGAATGAAAGAGAGGAACATTTTTAAATAAACATAAATCATTTTTTCTCATCTCCAAATGTTAGCCTCAATTTTAGAAAAGGGTTTTTCCTGTTACGGTGCAGAAAAGGAGGAAGACAAGGAAAGTTCTGACATGATCCAGCAGACAGATTAGCCTTCTGCCCATGTCCTGCCCCAGAGAACCTACGCTAGAGCTGACCTCCTTGGTCTGGCCCAGCACCCACCCTCCTGTGTGGGACCATCCCCATGCCTTTCAGAGCATCACTCTTCAGTAGAACTGTAGTGGGGTGGTCCCCCGCTGCTGCTGGGAAGGGCTTAAAACAGCCCTGGCAGAGGGCTGCAGCTCTAAAAGCTGGGCTGATTGGGGAAGTAGCCACAGCTGGGCCATGCCCCTATCAGGCCACAGCTGGCCTGTATAAAGAGGCTGTGAGCCAGGAGCTCAGGAGTCTCTCTCTGCCTTCAGAGAGAGAAGGGCCTGGCTGCACGGAGCTAGACACAGGGTACCTGAGTGGAGCAGGGCTGGGGAAAGGCTGAGGAGCTGGGGAGCTCCAGCCTGGATAGCCCCAGGCTGCGGCCTAGTAGGAGGCCAAGGGGTACTGGGGGTTGCAGAGGGCAGCCCAGGGCTAGGCCAAGGCAGCAGGTCCAAACCCAACCTTGCCTGTGATGAGTGGCCTATACTGCAGTCTGCCCCAGGGAGCGGGGGCTAGTTGGAGACTGGCAGTGGCCTTATCCTGAGGTAAGGTAGGGATAGTGGGTGGGGGTTCCCCTGGGAGGGAAGACCCTGAGAGAAAGGGGTTACTGCCAGGGGGCAGCACCCCAGGTAAAAGGGCACCGGGGTCCAGGGAGGGACACGGGGGCCGGAGGACAGGCGGATCACTGGCCTGCAGGGGGCGCTCCAGGACGCTGGAAGAGCTAATTCCCAGAAGAGACCAGCAGGAGGCGCCGCAGGGGTGAGTCTGCACCTCTACAAGAACAAATGGCCTTTTACCCAAGGAGAGACTGTTTCCTATTTCACAGTCCTTCATCTCTGGAAAGATCCTGCTGGCTCCTCTCCAAACCCAGCCCATCCAGCTCGGAGGGGTACTGGGCTAGGCCACTGGTGATGGTTGGGGCTATTGTCTGAGTATTTTAATAGCTGCTTTGCTGAATCTTGATGGGTTTGTCCTGTGGCCTTTAAGGCCTGGCTGTCTCCCCCGGAGAGCTTTCACAGAGAACATATCTCCCCCCTTCTGTTTGGTTTACAGTAAGAAAATCATTCCTAGAATTAAGTATAGCAGAGTCTGTTCCTCCTACATCTAACGTATAACCCCTGGATGCTCCGTGGGGATACCCTCGCACCAAGAAGCCCCACCTTGTAGAGGGCAGGGCTTTCTTGTCCTAGGGACTCCCGAGATAACCTGGTATCAATACTACACACCTGCGTTACCTTCTGTCACTGCTCTGGTTGGGCTGCCCCTTCCAGTCACCCCCTGCTCTGCTGTGAGGGAATCCAAGCCTCTGTCCCTGAATCCCAGGGTGTTTTAAGCCTCCAGAGCCTGAACGGAGTCCAGCCACTGCCCAGTCATGGGGTCCGTAGGCACGCTGCTGCCGTGCAGATCTGCAGTCTAACGCGCCCTTCTCAGAACTGGAACCTGCTCTCCAGCTGCCTCGCCCCGGCCTCAGTGTTAACCCTTCAGACTCCCCGGTACTTAAACACACCCTCTTCCCAGAACTCCACCCCAAGGCGGGAAGCTTCTGGTTTACACTGTCTCTCTCTCTCTCAGCGGCACACAAGCAGTTGTGAAGCAAATAACACACAGACACTTGGACAAGCACCTAACACAATTGCTGTTTTATACCCCATGGATAAAGCCCAAAGAGTACAAATCACTTAGACACACCAACCATCCTACCCACAATGCCCCTCCCTAGCTCACCCTTCCCTTAGAAGTCTTGGGGGCCACCTGGGCTCAGGAAGGAAGGCAGGTAGGGTTTCCACCGCCTCATCAGGCTTCTCCATGTTGGGTGGCTGCTCCCTCTCCTCTTGAGCTAGTGACAAACCAGAGACCCCGGGAAGGTCAGCTCCTCCCTCTGTATAACTTTGAGTCCCCTCTGTCAGGTGACATCCTGCCAGCCTCAACACATGACCAAACCCCCTAGTAGGTGGCCGCCATAGGAAAACAACTGCTCTGCTAGCCCAGTTCTTCTGATGGGGGGGAGGGGCACGCTATTGTTTAGGGCAATTACATTTCAATGGCCAAGCATTTTAAGTCAAGGACCCTCTTGTGTTATTCTTTCCCCACCAGCATTTGCAATTACAGCCCAACATGGAGGCAAATGGACCACAGCGAATGCAAAGGGC